TCGGCTCGGGCTGCCAGTCTTTCTATAACCCGCATATCCTCATTCGGAGCTCTGTAGATGCCTACAATTTCCCATGTACATTTAGGGTCTCTGCCTTTCACTTCAACTGCAATCATTTCGAAATCCTCGTCCACCCATAGTTCCACGCAAGCAATGTAATTCTTTACACAAATAAACACTCCACCACCTCGAGTATTCCTATCTCTCCTGAATGTTGTGTACTCGTCCCTTAAAACTTCGGCATTGCTAATTTCCTCTCTGAGCCATGACTCCGTACCTATTATAACATCGGGATTATATGTATCAATTAAATTCCAAAATTCTAAAGATTTATTAAGAATACTCCTGCAATTTACCTGAAGCAAAACCAAAGAATTGCCCTCTATCTTCTGTGCCCCTCCCGTAGCTACACATCCATCACTTGTGTCTTCCTGTCTCCTTGTCGCCGCCCCGGTTAGCGTCGGATCCTCGGTAATCGTGTTCGTCATCCTTCCAGGCGTTCCCTCATTGTTAACCCTCAGCAGCAGTCACTCGTTCCGATTTTGCACTCGGCCGCCGAAGTCACACACTCTGGAATACAGCTGGCCTAGTTTCCTCGCTCCGCTACTGTTTATGTGTAGTCCATCCCTGCCGAAGTCCTAGTCCTCAATCCACCTGTTTGGGTCCACAAATGTAACTCCTAGTGACCTCGCCACCCACTCATATCTGTCGTTTAGTGCTCCAATACGCCGCCACGACACGTCTCTGCGCCTAAGTACGCCACTCAGAACTAAAGTGGCTTGAGGAAACTTAGTCTTAGCCTTCTTCACCAGAGCATATACATCACCCATCACATAATCCAGATTTCCAGTTCGTCTTAGATCGTTAGTGCCTACATGAATTACGACAGTATCAGGGGCCCCTAGATCTCTGTTGTCTATGACTCGCTGCAGTTGCTCAGTTCTAATTCCCGGAAAACACTGTACCCTCATATGTTCAGCTTCCACATTGCGTATAATGGAGTCACCCAACACTAAGCACTCAGCATCTTGTTGTCTCTGCACCGTATCACCCCTGGCAACCGCTCCTCGTAACTGATCTTCCAGCGCACTGTTCTTCCGTTTAAGTTCTTCAATCTGCTTCATTGCATTCTCCAGTTTCTCCTCCAGTTGTCGAAGCCTGCCCCACCTGCACCTCTCACAACTCCACTTCCCGCTCTCTGCCATTTGGGCCCTTACATTGCCACAGCTGTTGTGAAACCAGCGTCCACATGTGTCGCACTGTGTTCCCGATTTCAGGTTCCTCCTACAGCCGCTACACAATACTTGTAGAATGTTCTCAGCCTCCACAACAGGACCAGGGTTTTGCTCCACACCGCCGATTATTAATACTATGGCTAGAGCCGCTACGCATAGAAGCATGTTGCCTATGTAGCTTCTTGCTTGTCCGTTCACCTCCCGGCCTTGGACATGGCGCCAGGGAGTCCTTGGGCGCCAGGGAGTCCTTGCAGCCCAGTTGCCCACACGAGCTCGACAGTCCTCCAGGTAGCAACCCATTTCTATTAACTCTCCGGAAACACGACCGCTCTCGACAACACTTCAGGAACAACTGAGGCTATGTTATGTTATGTTACATTGGGGCAATACACCACTGCGCATCCAACTGCGCACCCCCATCCCCACTGGGGCAGCACTCGGTGAGATTCGGCAAAGTTAAGTTAGGTTAGGTTAGGTTTGCGCAACACGGCACTGCGCACCTCCCTCCTTAATGGGGCAGCACTTTGTGACCGACCAATGTTAACTTAACTCAGGCTACGTTATGTTACGTTACATTGGGGCAATACACCACTGCGCATCCAACTGCGCACCCTGCGCAACACGGCACTGCGCACCTCCCTCCTTAATGGGGCAGCACTTGGTGACCGACCAATGTTAACTTAACTCAGGCTACGTTATGTTACGTTACATTGGGGCAATACACCACTGCGCATCCAACTGCGCACCCCCATCCCCACTGGGGCAGCACTCGGTGACATTCGGCAAAGTTAAGTTAGGTTAGGTTAGGTTTGCGCAACACGGCACTGCGCATCCATAGTTACGTCCGACACCGTTAGATTAGGTTAGGTTGCGTTAATTTAGAATATAATGACGCATCACACCCACTCGTATATATATCACGGCATAAAATTGGGCCTTGTCGTCTTGAAGAGTTCACAAGTCATTGATCCCGTCGAAATATATCTCAGACATTAAAATACTTTCGAATTTTGGGAAAAAAATTTGACTTAGTTTTCGATTTTTTTTTTCTTGATTTCAAAATTTGGTTGAACTGGGTATATATTATTTTCCAAAAAAAATCATGGTATCAACTAGAATTCAATTTAATAATTGTTATTGAAAACAATTTCTGAAGTTTTTATAATATGAGTATTTAAATATTCGACAACCCAAATGCTTGTATTCTATAATAACTACTTGAGTTTATTGAAAAATTATGAAATTCTGTAGTCTTGACCCGTTTTTTTTTTATATTCTCAAAATAAGAATTCAACACATCACTGGAATTCCGTCCTACCATTCGCCCACATTTTCTCAGCTACGTCTGTTGCACACAAGACTGCAGCTATTCATAATCGGCCACCATCGGACACACCTACTCATGACGTTAGTGTGGTATGCGCATAAATTTGCACCCGTGCCCTTCCATAAATTCATGCATCTTAAACCTGAGAAAGAATCTCATAAGGGGCAGCTTCAAATATATGTATAGCTGCCACCTGAGTAAGAACGTGAGAGCTGCATGTTTCCATAGTACCATCTGACAATGACATTACACATACTCGTACAGTCTTAACCAGACGTGAGACAGCGTCCCGTGGGGCCCGGAACGAAGAATCACTGTGCTGGCGAAGACCAGCAGCAATTTAGCATGAAACCGAAACCTGCATGGTACTTAATTATTTAGGCACCAGGCCATAAAGACGTATGGGGAAGTGGAGACACAGCTCTACCATTCTGGAACTCGGCATTGGATGGAGATGACTGATCAGCTTCACGCATCAGCATTGCTCCCAGGGAAAGAGCCCCCACTGGACGCTGTGGAGCAGAGAAAAATCTCTTACCCCTGCCAGGAATGAAACCCCGGTCGCTATACCGACTCTTATACATGAGCCTAGGGTGGATATTCTTGAACAGTTCCATGACTAAGAAGACGATGGCGCTGAACAAGTACCTGATGAAGACTGTGCGGTTTCTTATGTGGGTTACAGATGGCTCATATTCTTAAGAAATCTCACAAGTCATCATACATCATTGCTCTTAACAGCGGCTGATCCAACACCTGTCAATGCGAATGGCCTTTCAGAACTAGGCAGACCTCCAGGTCAGCAGGAAAGCCAGAGAACCGAGCAACTCGTTTTACAAAGGCGATTATTAGAGCCAGGATTTGGAAATTCGTTCTTAAATGTTTCGTTGTTGAGAAGCAGTCACATCTTACGACACTGCGAACAGCGTCCTCCAAACTACGCAGACGGAGTATACCTGGGTCTGCCCCCATCTGCTGCCCTGTACGTACGTGTATGTATCATCTGAAGGTATTTACAGGGCTATCTCTAGTAGTAACGGTAGGAACACTGTAGACCATAGGACAATAGCAGATAAAACTGCCCCGTGCCAAATTAAGCGCTATGCCACGAAGTCGTATGGTGGAATGGATGTAACGCTCCAAATGTTGTTACCCTCGGCACTAGATGCAAGTGCCTGGCCAGTCTCACCTCTCAACCATCTTAGCCCCTAGGAAAGAGGCCCCGCTATCCCCTGAGTATGAAGTAAATGGACCCAGGGAAGGTCTCAATACTGCTGTGAAGAGGAATATTGTGCTCCTCCCGAGAATCGAATGCAGACTATCCGGTCGTCCAGCCCAAAGTCCTTACACTAACTTGAGCTATCCAAGCCCCTACAGAGGGCAGCTGATTTATATTCATTCGGTGGTCTTGTGGGTAGCTGCTAACGTTTCGGAGGAATATACTGCCTCCATCTTCACGTAGAAAATGAGTAATTTTATGGAATAATGTGGTCAGTGAAATAAATAATGGTAACATTCTGTTGGAGATGTGGGTTCAAAGCTTGTCCCTGTAGAACACTCTTTATTCTCGAAATAACCATGGCGGTAGATATGTAATCCATTCGACTTAAGGTTTCCCATTTCCGAGCGCTGTGACAGCAGTTTCCGATGACGAATTACACTGCAACACTCCAAACCTCACGACACTCATCTGGCTGTCGACCCTGAGTTGGATGGCCACGCCTCTGACAAAGGCGTGATAAAGAGGCGTCTAATCGAGTCATATCAAAAGGCTATTTAAGGATATGCCCTAGATTATGAAGCGCACTTATACCGCTATAGTCAACTGAACGTTCCTTCCGTCCGTCACTTAAACACATTTCCTTTGAAGAAGTTCTTCCTCTGATCCTACTGATTGCGGCTCGGGTCTGCACCAATCGATACGATTCCTTGGGTAGGGGATCGGCCCATCGCAAGGCATACGCACGATAACATGAACATAAAATAACCAGACATACATTTCTGCCTTGAGTGCGATTCGAACACAAGATCCCTGTGTTCGAGTGGTCAATATATAGAAGCCTAGACCCCGCGGGAAGGGGGGAGGGGGCTGAAAGCATACATTACCAATAACTGAGCACCTTTTCTGTTTCTAAAAACAGCCTTTTACTACAATCAGATAATAATGCCGTCTAGCTTGGTACAAGTTTACAGATGTTTCGGAGGAATGTATTTCCTTCAACTTCAGGACTGAAGAGTAAGCCAACCAACCAGTAAGAAGGAAGCAGCATGCATAATGTTCTGGCTTGGTTTACTCTTCGATACTGAAGACAGAGAGGTAGTGGTTTCCTGCGAAATGTCGGATGTTGTACCAGATTACACGGCGTCCAGCCCAGCTCTATAGCACTATTCGCGTCAGTTCTGTGACAACTTCAAATCCAAACAGGAAATGCGCTCACCTTGAAGTCTATGTATCCATTCTTGTCCATGTCAAATGTTCGGAAGACATGATCGCAGAATTCCTCAGCATTTCCGCTGGGGAAGAACATCTTGTACATGTCAACAAACTTCGCCGGTGTTAACCTTCCGTTGGGACAGTCTTGCTGTAAAGAATAAGAAACGGAACAGTACAGACACAACAAAAAACATGTATCACTGAGCCCACTATTGTGCGCCAAAAATATCTTTGAGCGTGCGTCATGAGAGTGTTACGTCACCATTAGAACGTTAATTTTCAGCTTATGTCAGGAATACAAATCGCCACATAGGAGAGCTTACTTACGACACGGGACTTTCCCCCCGCAAGGTTTCCTACTCAAGGTATAACGTAGCTTCAAAGATATTTTAGACAATGCCCAGTTCAGCTAGATCAGACAGAGGGGGGGGGGATTTCAGACGCTTAAATACTATCCAGGGGTGAAAAGCAAGGCAATTATTACTACTGGGCTGCTATTACAAAGTAAAATTTTCATGAAAATATACCCTGAGTAGTAACAAGCAAATGTGCTGATGTACGGATATAGCAAAGAACACATGGCACAAACGTCATTACAATTTGTTGGCGCCTTTTGCCTGTCACGCTTTCAACCCCTAAGGGCGGCCGCACATCAACTGTGCCCAGACAAGCATGAAGACATGGGACAAAAGACGCAGTCTTGCTTCATTCTTGATTCGTCAGCATCATGACTCAGACCGGTGTGGGGCGGTTTTCATAAGCTCTTTCGTTTCAACTGTGCTCCTTTCTTTGCGTCATGTCGCAGGCATCGTGTCTTGACTGTTACATGTCTTGACGCATGCCGGTGTGCGGACTACCTAAGCCTCTGGTGCCTGCCGTCCATCAAACTAATATTAACAAATTCAGTTCATTATTATTATTATGGCTCTAGAGCCCTTTCTTAGGCCAGGGCCGCTTTTTCAGTTTCTTGATCCTATATAGTCGATAGGACCCCTGGGACGGGGGATAAGCCCGTAGCAAGGCCGCTACCTACACACAGAACAACACAAACAGAGAATAAACGCAGACAATACAGATATCCATGCCTTGAGTGGGATTCGAACCCACGATCCCAGCGTTCGAGCGAGCGAAGACACCTAATGCCTTAGACCACACGGCCACTGTGATCGGCTAATTTCCCTTCATACCTCAAAGAAAATACATCCCAGCGCCATTAGAAACACCAACCAGTTAACGTTCTTTAGGGAAATAACAGCTAATTATTGTTAAAATCACACGAAACACACAAATGCACAGTGTGAGCTTAACGTTAATGCAGGTGACTGTGAATGAGGGGTTAAACTCCACGGTACACAATCCGACTGCTTCACTTGTTTAATAGTCTACTCGTTTCCATATACTACTGTTTAACCATTTACTGGAGAGCGGTAAATATACGTACCACATACGGTAGCCGATACAGTGCATTTACGAGTATGGGTTTCACAGTCTTCACAGCCGGCTAGCAATTGCTTGCCCAAACAGAGTTAACTGGTTCGTCCTTGTGATGCAGTCGCAGTTTTCTCTGCGAGCTACGAACTGGATGTTTATATTCGGATGGGACGGATGCCGGGCCTCTGGCTACACGTCACTTTGCATCCGGAAAGTTCTATGGCCGGCCAACTTTTCCGTGGTTCCCTGTGCCCCGGAGCAAACAGCGAGTTCCTACACAAATTTCAAGTAGCAATGCATGCTTTGGATGCAGCATTCCCAATGTAATGTTAAAATTCCGCCCCAGTGTAGCCCTCCCGATTTAAAATCAAAACTTGACCCAAATGCAATTCTTCAAACGTCAATAAAACAAAGCTCCTCAAATTCTTTTATCTCCTCATAAAAACCCATTTCCCAACACTTTACCCTGTTCCAAACGAACCTCTACCAGGCCTAATGTGCAATGCCTGAGAACATTTTTTTTATTTCTCCAATTTATTATACAATCTATCCAGCTATTTTGGATAATAAGTACTAGTTATGATGAGTATAAAAGTAATTTAACATGAAGAACGTGTTCCAATGAACTCGTTCTATATGTAATTTAACTAATTATAGTCAACTAGTTAATTGTTTTACAAAATTAGATAGCAAATCTGGTTAACAGTTCTGACGGTTTAAATCTGTGAAGCCTCCTGACTTCTTCTTCATCGTAGAGGTGCGTCGCTAAGGAATTCGGGTGCTTCCGGAGGCGTGCCTGATATTTTTTACTGGAGAGCGTGATTTCCTCGCGTACTGTTGGAATTCCCAGGTCCTTGTGTAGGACGAAGTTTGGTACGTACCATGGTGCGTTAACTAGTACACGCAGTACCATATTTTGGAATCGTTGAAGAATTTCGATGTTGGAGTTGCTAGCGGTACCCCATAAGGGTATGCCATAGGTCCATATCGGTTTTAGTATAGTTTTATATAATAGGATCTTGTTCTCTGTTGAGAGCTCCGAATGGCGTCCCAGCATCCAATACATCTTGTGGAATTTAGTTCTGAGCTGTGTGCGTTTGGTCTTGATATGTTTTTGCCATGTGAGTCTTTTGTCCAGGTGCATGCCAAGATATTTGGCGTCGTCTGCTTGTGGAATTTGAGAATTATTGAGTTGTACTGAAGGGCAGTTGTCATGTTTCATGGTAAATGTTACATGAGTAGACTTATCTTCGTTGGCCTTCATGCGCCATTTGTTGAGCCAATGTTGGATGTGATTAAGGTGATTTTGTAGGTGCAAGGAAGCGATGAGGGGGTTGCTGTGTGACGCCAGGATAACTGTGTCGTCAGCAAACGTGGCTGTGGTTGTTTGTTGAGTTGTAGGGAGATCAGATGTATAGAGCAAGTATAAGACAGGCCCCAACACGCTGCCTTGGGGTACACCAGATAATATTGGATACAGGTCTGTGTATACTTCCTGCTGTTTTATGAGGTAGTACCTTTGTGTGAGATAGGATCGCAGTGTGGCATACATTTGATGTGGTAGTGCTTGTTTTAATTTGTAGCATAATCCCACATGCCATACCTTGTCAAAAGCTTGACTGATGTCAAGGAACACTGTTGAGCAGTAGCGTTTTGCTTCGAGAGCTTTGTTGATTGTGTTGACCACCCTATGGACTTGTTCTGTGGTGGCGTGTCTGTTTCTGAATCCAAATTGATGTTTAGGGATTAAGCTTTGGGCTTCCAATACCGGATTAAGTCGTTTCAGGAGTAATTTTTCCAGTACTTTAGAGAGGACTGGGATCAAGCTTATTGGTCTGTAGGATGTGACTTCTGTTTTGTTTTTTCCAGGTTTTGGGATCATAATGATTTGTGATACTTTCCATAGTGATGGATAGTATTCTAGTCTTAACACAGCATTGAATATATGCGTTATTTTTTGGATGCATGTTTCGAAATTTCTTTTAAGACTTTCCCTGTGATTAAATCAAATCCAGGAGCTTTCTTTGGATTTAGATCCTTTTTGATGATTGACTCGACCTCTTGAGAACATTCAAAGCAGGAAAATTTTCTTTCTCTCCCTCTACACTGTTAAGAACACTGCCACGCATTCCTGGTTTGCGTGACTAATAATAATGGATTCTGGAGTAGATGAAGAGATTTATTGGACACTCACAAGTCGTAACTACAAATAGTTATAGAACTCGAAAAATTACTGTAACTATAACATAAACTGAAGTCTTCAACCTCTGCTTGCTAGTCGTTGCTTCATAAGGAATTGTATCTGGTTAACACTCAACACCTGAATATTCAACCACTGAACTGTCTTCTTAGTTATCTTACGAATGAATCTCTGATCTGAATTCACGAGTCGGCTCCCTTTTATAACTGCCACGCGGCCCGAATAGAGAACGCCGCCCCCAAGGGTTCTACTACTGCTCTTCATGAGAATGTTGGCTCGGAAATCCGCGTGATGATTCCGAAAAAACGGCTTATTTTCTAAGCCTTTACACTTTGCTACTTGGCAACGACTCGTTCATTGCTATTCGTTGTACAGGGAACGTGATTTTCGAGCCGTTGCTCAGCAATGGACATCTGCTCCAGCTCTACCATTTCGGCTTTCAACCGTCATGTCACAATATCTTCACCCCCTTTGTCTTCGTATACTCCTGACAGGAACGAGTTAATCATCGTCATTTGCTGACGTAGCCCGTTACGTCATCATTAGAATGTTCATTTTCATTTTTCGCGTGGGCCTACCTACAAATCATTCGTGACACGCATAGCACACTTCAAGGACACTAGAAAACCGCGAGAAACATTCTACAATACCCCTGGGGGAGGGGGGATTACTCCTCGTGTCCTCCCTTCTTCCCGAGCCGGATAGTTTCGTGCTAGTGCCGAATACTAATACAATTTCTATCTGAAAGCTGAGGTTAGTGTCTGCTGACGTGCGTCTGTGGGGCAGGCGTCCCGACGTCCAGGTCCACGCATGGGCTCGCTAATTGACGTAAATCCAATTACTCAGAACTGATCTTTAGACAGGGGTATGTCAGAAATTATGAAGCAGAACGGCAGCGACGACTAATAGGGGCATGACGTAACAGAATATTGTATGTTTTACATTTCGAAGTGGTAAAGAGAGACAGTGGGAGTTAGGCTAGCTGCAATTGTGAGTAGAGCTGCCATGAGGGCCCAACATGAATAGCTTCCCCTGGTTTTGTCTGCCTGTCAGAAGATGTGAATAATGTTATCCAGTTGTTTGTGCCAGTGTCCTAACTTGCTGCGTCACATGACGTGTGTTAATAAACTTAAATGTAAGAAAAAAGGTCTGTTTCAATTCAGTTTCTTTATTCACGTATTTATTTGTCTTTTCTATTTTTCCCGTGTTTATTTCTTTTTGTCCGCAAGTTACGAAAGCATCAGAGCCAGAGCTGCTTTACCACTGGGCGGTTTACCGCCAATCAGTTCGTCTTGGCTACAAGCCACTTGAGACTCTCCACCAGTAATTTTGTTCTCCAACTGAACATTTGCAATTATAGTCCTTATGTAACATCCCTTCTGAGGAGGATGGGTCTGCCGTTTACAATTGCCGCTGGTCCTCGCCAGCACAGTCATTCTCAAGTCCGAGTCCCGAGGGACTCATTGGAAACTCTGCATCTCCATTACAAAGACCAAGCAGTTAGTGCTGTTTACTCG